GTTCAATATTTGCTCCAAGTGCTCCACAAGCCATCCACTTACACAACTTTGCTGTGCTCCTGCTGAAAAGGAACATGGCACGCGTCACAAATTAGAAAAAAGCGCAAAATTTATGCTGGAAGCATAAAATCGTGATTGCAAATGTGGCGTCTGGTTGATATTTAATTTCTTGGATGTGATTTCGTGAAGCATTAAATCAAGTCTAATGTGTCGCATTAGCGTTTGTTTACGTTCAATACGTGCATATTTCTACCATGGCTTCCGGTTTTATCGGAAGCCCTAATGATTTTTGTTGATTTTTATCCGTTTTTTCAAACTAATGTAACAGGTAAACAAGCTTTGGTAGCAAGTAGAAACCGGAAATAAATGTCTGTTAAACATACATATGTCAACAGACATATACATATCCCGGATACATATTCCTATATGCGAAGTATAACGTTAACGTATAGAAATGTTAACGTTGGTACAAAACTCAGTCATCTTTAGTCAATTTTATCGAAGCTATTAATAAACTTTTACTACTATATCACGTTTTTTTGTATTCTATTGGGTGCATTGTATATTATTTCTAACTTTCATAACGTTTCACAATGTTCTATGTGCTATTCTAAAACGAAAGCAAAATAAATCCTTTACTCATTTTTCACTTTCTAAACTTTCACATTTGAATTTTTCTTTTGCTGGGCGCTCAGCTTTTCATTTCACTGTAAAGCTTAGGCAAAAGTTTGCGCTCTTTTCAGTGTTTTGTGTTATCCTTTATGCCAATGTAACAAACGTTCAAGGATATTTGAACATTTGGAGCAATTGGCCTACAACAGCTAGGACTTAATTCTTTTGCTTTGCCTTAACCATGCATCGGCATTTGCAACTTGCACATTTTTGGGGTTGTTTTATTTCCATTGGAAGAGGAGCACAGAAAAGTTATAGTGCAAATTGAAACAGTGGAGAGTATTTAGAGCTTAGATAGACCAATACATGTGAATACAATACTTGGTTAGTCATGACAATCACATTTATTTCTTTATTGGATTTTAACAGAGGATAAACAAAGTAAAAGGCAACCAAGGAATAGTTTTTTTTGGCTTAAAAAAATTTTTTTATGGAATGAAAGAATGAAATAAAACTATTGAGTATAATTCCATTTAATACTTATTCCTTTCAAATAAGTAATTTCTTCAAACCATTATATACACGCGTGTATTAATAATATTTCGTTATTTGTTAAAAGAGTTATTTAATAATTAATTAATATATTTTGTTTATTTCATAAAAAGTAATTTAATCGGAAATTCAGCAACTCAATTAATAAGTAAATCACACACACTAAGTTATTGTTAAAAGATTCACAATAAATAAATAATTAATTTCATTAATTGGAAGGAAGTACTTATTTTTATTACTTAATTATTATTATTATTATTATTATTCATTTCATAACCTTCATTAATTGAAATATTCATTTTTTGAAATTATTTGCTTATGCAAATTTGAACTTACTTAACATTAAAAACTTACTGACTACGAAGAATGAAACACACTCTACTCTGACTTACAGTTTTATTACTATGATTATTATTGCAATATTACTATAAACTTTTTTTATTATGTTGACTCGAGTTATTTCAAAACCCTTCTTTACACCTTGACTGGTTTATTGTTTATCACTTCATCAGAGTAAGCAATAATTGACCTCAGATCTGCATACCTCCCCGAGGAGCATCTAACTATTCTGAGATTTGGTAATGCGGTGTTGGTAATTCTATAAGTTTTCGTAAATAATTTCAGGGCTCTATCCTTTATGTATTTTTTGATGGGATCAATCTTGAGGCCGCTGAGGATGTCATTTGTCCTAATGTACCATGGTACATTAAAAAGTCTTCTCAGAGCCTGGCTTTTTGCAATTTCTAGCTGGCGAATAGTAGTGTTTGAAGCATCGTTTCTTAATTAATTTCCAAAGATGTTATGTGTCTGCGAAGAATCAAATCTCGTTTAAGGCCAACAACACTTAATTTTTTGGAAAATTAAGACTGTCAAACATTGAAATCTGTCAAACAATGGTTTCTGAACTTGAGAGCAGACCTGTTCTATCATATGGTCCGGAAGCAACTGACGAATCAAGCGAATACCGAGCTAAAGTTAAGCTAATATTGAAAAAATAGCGCTGAAGCCATTCATAAATCAAGGTCATAACAGTTTTCTTTGATTATAGTGGGGAGGGATGTGAATATCCTCTGTCAAACCAAATTCTTAACAAGGAATATATTTTAGACATAAGTTAAAGTTTACGTAAAACTATTCTTGAAAAGATGTCAGGACTATGAGAAGATCATGCATCGTCTTATACTACATTGGCTCTTCGAGACCATTTTGCCATAAATTCAACTAACATAATTTCATAACGATTTGGCATCGTGTCACTCTTCTGGCTCTTCTCGAAACTCAAAAAGACCACTTAGGGGACTTCTCATTCAGGATCCAGAAACCAATAGGAACTCAACAGGATCATATGATCCAAACTTACTAATTATTAAAAACATTCGAAATGTAAAACATGAAATAATATTTAAAAAGAAATTTTACTGACTGTACAAAAGATGTTTAATCTTAAAAAATTGAATTTTTTTTCTGCATTAAAATTTATATTTATTTACAATAGAGTAAATAAACGTAATTTTGTAATTTTAGTGTCATCAAAAAGTTTAGTTGGACTTAAAGCTGAATTGTCCGTAACATTGTGGATTACAGCATCAATTATGTGGGGTTTTAAATATTTTCTTTTTATTCAGAATTATATTTTTATTATCTGCAAAAAACCAAAGGCTAATATTAACTCAGTGAATTATGACCATGCAGTCAAATTAAACTACAAATCCCTCCCAGTCTAGTTAATCAGAGTGTAAAAAAGCAATATAATAAATAGTACGTTATAGCACCAATTGCTCGTTTTAACCTTTTCATATTAATGAAAAAAGATTTGCATAAAACCCCGGCAATTTTTATATATAAATCAAATTTATTACACGTTCGGAAAGCCGTAATAAAAAAACTAAAATTTTAAAACAAAATATTATGATTGATATAATTTGGCTGGCAAACTGACATTACAAATAAGTACTGTTATTAACAAAATACACTCTCGGAACACCACAAAGAGGCCTTCTCCGCCAGACATTTACCACAACATATTTGCATCAATAACTGAAAATGTTTGTGGGGAGAAACTGAGGTCCACCATAATTTATGCACCCCCACGGAAACCCGTCAAATTTTTGCATTAAAACGTTTGCTATCCACGTAACTGAGACAGCCAAATATATGAAACAGTTAAAAAAATAATAATAATAAAAATAAAAATATAAAAAAATAAAAAAATACAACAAAAATCTGAAAAATTATATGAACTTGGAAAAACAATAAATTATTGTGCCAGAGTTGAGTGAAAATTCTGCTGCATTTATGTGTAATTTCAATAAAAAATAATTTTATATATTCGCAGTGAAAACAAATGTGTAAAAATATTTAACGATTTTCTTTATATCAATGAAAATGTTTCAAATACTAACAGGCATAAGGACACCCTAAGCAATATGTGTTAATAGAACTGAATGATATGAAAATGGCAATCTCTAAAATTTTGGATTGACTCTAACTAAAAGGCGTTATAAAATCAAATCAAAAATTGTTTATGATTGAGACTACTGACGACTTTAGTATTAAATAAATAAAGATACGAATTAATATACAAAGCTCTGTGAATAGTTAATTACCAATGCATAGCTGGTTTTGCATAACAAAGTCAGAACTGCAGCAAGAACAACAAATAGTTTGTTGGACAACTTAGATCAAATTATTATAGAAAGACCGCTCATACAATTACTATAAGCTTTAAACGAGAAAAAGTTCAATACTAACTACTCAAACTACTAAAAAATATCTTCCGAAGATCTATGGTCTCTTACGCGTTGGCGACGAGTATCGAATTAGATGGAACAGTGAACTTTATGAGCTATACCGCGACATTGATATAGTTAAGCACATACGAAATTCAGCGGCTTCGCTGGCTTGGTCAGGTCGTGCGAATGGAAGAAAGTGCTCAAGTTAGAAAGGTGTTTGATTCGGTATCCGCAGGTGGAAAACGCGGTTGAGGTAATCCGCATCATCGGTTCAAAGACCAGGTGACCAATGGTTTGGGGCGCTGGGTACTACCAACTGGTGACAGCAAGCTACTAATCGGGCTGGCTGGTGGAGGCTACTCGATGCGGTCAAGGACGACTCACGTCTGTAATAGTTGGTAAGTAGTATATAAAGTAACTACTCAATTGACTTATATTATTGCTGATATAATTCAAAAGACGGTGTGTATATTATTTCTTCTTATTTGCATATATAGCGATAACTGCAGATTACAGCAGTTATCGCTATACACGCTATACTTACACTCCATAGCAAATATGGAGTGTAAGTACAAACTGAAGATTTATTGACAAAAAATGTCTTGAGTTCCCGTGAAGTCTAGAAATCTAGAAGATTATTTAAATGCGTAGTAGAGCTCTATTTTATTCTTAATATGTTTTCACAGTTATTTAAAAATGTGCAAAATATTTAATAATAATTAAATATTAATTTAAAGTTTTGAACTTTAACTATTAAGTGTCACTAAAAGGATATAAGTTCATTTCAACACATACGTAAAAGGCTACCAAACAGCCTTTTAAATAAAGTGCATAGGGTATAAAAAAAAAGAAAGGGTGCAAAAATAATGACAGTCTAGTGCAATTACAGATATTTAAGGTTATGATTTGGGGTCCCTCAGATTTATTATTGCACTTAATTTTAATGAAAATTTTTTACGCTTATTTTTCTAAATTAATATAAAAAATCTAACTGAAGTGTGAATATAAAAATAAAAAATTTGTTCTCATTTTTCTATTTTCTATTTCCTTAATTTTAAAAATTATTATGCCACATTTTATTTTAAATTGTATTTAGGCACTTACTTGTACGCATATTCCAAATTATCGCCACATCCACCCCAAGTCCAATCGTCGTGCAATTGTTTTGGTCTGGAACCGCGCGAGCAGCCACACGAAGCCAATTGACCATCTCGACAGGCACGTGCTATAAAACTTGTAACAGTGGCGGCAGCCAAGGCATGAATAAATGCCATTTCCGGTGAACCTAAGACAAAATTAAAATTTGGTGAAAATTAATTAGGTTGAATTTGAAACATTAAACATAAAATATAGCTGATGCTTGAGGCATGCAACAAATGGCAGCCAATTTACATTTTTTGGATTTTATAGTGCCATGCCGAGCAAACAACACAGTCATAGTCAAAAAAGAAACAAGCATTTATAAAGCTTTGACATCTAACAATGTAAGTGATAAGAGTTTTCAAGTTATTGTGCCCCTTTTTAAGTAAATATCTTCGATTGCCCTGTGCTCGTACACATCAAAGTCACTGCCGCCTGCAACAACAGATGCTTAATATTCCTTAAGGTGTATAAGCAAACTGTCATTAACTGCTGTCGACAATGATAAAGTTTGTTTTAATAATGAAGATTTAATAAAGTTAATATAATGCCGAGTATCTGCCAGTAACAACAGCATCTTCCGAGTGTATCTCACAGATACAAACTATGTATTGTATAATGTTACTAATATAAGCAACAGACACGAGAATGAATGCCATCGAATGTCAAATCAATTTGAGGAGAAGATGCCGACTTAATAATTATGATAGTTGGCAGCCTTCGCTGCTGAGAAAACTTAAGAGCTCCAAACTAACACGGAATAGTTACGAGTATATTCAGTGGAAGTTGATCAAAATTATCATTCTTAAGCAGCTTTCACAAATGCATTTGATGTTAATAATTTCTATTAAAAAAGTTTTATGTTTTTACTGCTCTGCCTTTTCGTCTTGTTTTACGTATCTCATCCTTTGAAATGCGTCACAGTGACACTGTCATATTAAACTTTTGGATAGAAGATATTTTTTATTACTTAACCACTTAAATATTTTCTGCTTTCAAATAACATTGCTACTTAGTTGAGCTCGGTTTGGTTTGGGTTTTGGGTAAGAATAACGATTGGGTACACAACGGTTCTCGAACATCGATTTCGACTTATATTTATGCGGTTGAGTAAGTTTTAATGAAAAGTTGATTTAAGCCGATTACAAGGGCATGAGTTATAAGCTTCGTGTCACTGGACAGGAATGGCATAGTATGCTTTTTTATTTTATATCGTATTAGGGAAAACCGAATGGTCAAAATATTTTTTATGTAGTATTATTATAAAAAAATAATAGAAAAATTTCACTTTCATAAATATTTATATGTTTACATGAGTATTTAATTATTTATTTGCTATAAATTTTGAGTACTTAATTATTTATTTGCTATAAATTTTATATTTTTTATAATTATATTTTAATTATGACTCATAAATAAATATATATTTTTTTTACATTCAAATATTTTTAGACCCTTTGAAATTGAATTGAGTGATTTATCTGAACAATACTTCAATGAGACTAACATATGTACATATCTTAAAAAAATGTGGTTTAACTCATTTTAAAAATTATTTATTATTTAACTTTAAAATAATTAATTTTTTAAGATGTTAAAATTTTTAATAAATAACATTGTAAGGAGTAAAGTAATAAATTTATAAATGGTTTTTATGGTAGATCGGAAACTTGTTTGGATCCCAAAGCAAATTGTGCTAACATTTTGGTCGCAGTGCTTTGATCCGTTAGGAGCTGGTACCCTGTTTATTTCTCTTCTATCATTTGAAAAGTTTATGGTTTTTAATGAATTTTCTTTGTTATATTATTCTTATTATCAATTTCTTACTCAAATACTGTTTGGTTTTGATTTATGTTAATATATACATTAAAGTCAAATTAGGCACCGACTGCTTGCATGATCGAAGTGCAGGAGTTTATTTTATAATTACATTCTTTTAATTGCAATTCATTGAAACATCAAAATGTGTACAAGTAAGTCCATTTCGTTGTAAAGACATTTTCAATGTCCAACATTGATCATTTTTGGTCTTGGTGTGGAATATAGCTATGAAAGATTTTTAAGTTTTAAGAACTATCTATAAAAACAGAGACTATCTTCGTACCTATAAAACAGTACGTTTAAAACCCTATTAAAGGCTTGCAGATTGTTTTGAAACAAAATATTTCATTCTTCGGTTTCAAGGCGTTTTTTTTAATTACCCTTAAGCTACTCGTCTAACAGAAATTGTTGTTATATATAGAATTACATGTTATTATTATGTACTGCAATAAAAATGGTTCCACTACGCATAATTCTATAGATTCTTTGTTTTTAACTCTATATGTTAATATTTTAGATTAGTTGGAGTATAATTAGTGATACGATCGACAGGAGTTTCTATGTAGATACAACAATGCAACTTAAGTAATGAAGTCTTTCACTGCTAAGAGCTGAATATTCACAAAAAAATGTGTTCTAAATTATCAAGATCTATTTCACAAAATGCACAGATATTAGTGTAGGAAAGATAAAACTTATTAAAGCGATACCTCAGAATGCAGCGACCTCCAAAGTAACCTTCCTTCGATTAAGTCTGCTTAAAAAAGTTCCTTTTTAATATTCCTTTTACTATAATAAGAAAATTTTTTGCTTAACGAAGACCGCATTATTTAACCAATGATCTACAAACTTTCTGTTTCTGACACTTGCTGATAACTTCACTCAAATAGTTTTTTAGGAAATCGCATAAGGGTTTAAAATGGGTTCGTATAAGGATATATTTGAATTTCTTCTGGTCAGATCATAATCAGCGACTTCATTATCCTAATGTTCTTTCTGTCTTGGGATCCCATTCTAATATTACAATGTTAAGCTTTTATAACTTTTAAAGACTGTTTTTTATAAAGACTCAATATTATATTATAATTAATTATTCTTACAACTTTATTCGAATAGATTTTTGTATATTTGTAGACCGATTTAGGATCAGTTAAAGGCATTTTTGGAACTCTTTTAGCTCAGATCATGATCAGTTACTTTATTACCCTAATGTACTTCATGTCATAAAATTCTATTCTAATACTACAGTTTTGAACTTCCACAACATATTGAGACGGTTTATTATGCAGCCTTCAATCGTTATAATAATTTACTTAAAGTTTTTAATATTGGCTCAACCTTTAATGATTATTTATGTTAAGCTGGAAAATAATGTTAAGCTTGTTTGTAAGTATAACTAATGTAGCTATCTACATACATTAAAGTGAATTTATTCCAGAGTAACTTAGTTACAAATAATATAAAATATTTATATAATTTTATGCAGCAAATGCTACCATTTTCGGAACTGAATTGCATTATGGAATTATTTTTATACATAATAATTAAAATAAATTAAATATGCAATTTACATACAAAACTCTGTGGCATTATTATTATTATTAATGTTCAAATTCCAACTTGATAGAATTGTTTATCATACTTATACGGATTGAGTAGATTTGTTCTATAAAGCAAACCGATTTGCTTTGTGTACATAAAATATGAAAAAAAAAAAAAAATTGCTGTAAATATTATTACCGGAAATATTTTTGCAACAATCATTTTATTGAAGATATTTAATTGAAATGTCAACGATTTCCTCGTACAAAGTTCTTGAAGAAATTTTATATTTACTTCAAAATAAATAACAAATCAAAGTTACCAGCTGACGACATAATCAACTGAAAATATAATACACTGAAATCTTAATTCGTTATGCAAAATCCATCATGTAAAAATTGAGAAAAATCTAATAATAACTGTGTGTTAGCATTATACAATAATATACCCCTAATATAAATGCAAACCACATCCCCTTTTACGATGAGATGAAACAAAAGCAAAAAAAAAAAAATTTTAAAGACCTTAAAATGGAATAAACCTTAAAATAAACAGTGCAAACCAAAAGTCAATGAGACCTTCAAATCTCTGAAATGAATTCATTTTTTGCTTAGCCACGCATAAATCGGCACATTTTCAAAATCGTATCGTATTGATTCACAAACAAGACAGATTTCAGTGCCCAGCAAGTTGACAGTCGCAATGATTGAATACCAAAAACGAAGGATAGGAAAGAATGCTTAAAGATTATCGCACATGATATGCTCATATTATTTTCTGGGAACAGCTGCGTTTTGTACAAACATTTCACAAAATCCATGGAGATTTACGACGACGTACACGTTCAAGTACCACTCAACCGCGTGTACTGGGTTAGGAAAAGGGCTTGCACAGCATTAGTGTACGATAAATACGTTCTATACGTTTAGAACACAACTGTTTTGAATTACTCTCCACACATAAACTTATCTGCATATCCTGTCATGAAAGTCATCAGTTTTCAATTACAACGTTTGCATTTTCCTTTCTTTCACATAGATAGATATATGGGTATACTAGTTTATTCCTTATGTGTTTTTTATCGATTATAATAGTCAATTTTAGTAAAATTTTGATTTTTATCTTATGATTTCAAAAACACAAAAAAATGAGCTTGAACGAGTGCATAAACATTCGTTAAGTAAGCAAGCTACTGGTTCAATAAGGAAGAAATGGCATTGAATCATCGAATGACTAAAATGCAGTCATTGCTCTGTTCCCAATCTGACCAATGATTTCGAAGTCAATTTAATTAATCATTCCAACTTGTTTTTACGTCTTATTATTGTTAGTTTCTGTTTGCTTCATACGAGTATAAACAAAGGCTCCCTCCCTTCTCTTCTCTTCTCCTCTGAAATATGTTAGTTATTATATTGACATCACATTAAGTAAACAAAAGGATACTGCTTACATAAACAGAATACTGCTGATGATTTTGGTGCTGAGTAAATATTTGTTTGTTGATTGTTATGCTTTCTCGAATTATATATATCATACATTGCATATATACTAACTACACAGTTTTTTTTATTTTATTTCAATGTGAATATGTACTTAGGCTAGCACTTTTTAAAAAACCTACCAATTTATACTCTAAAACTCTTATTATTATTTTTATTTAACACTCATTGTTTCGATATAGTCAGAACTCAGATATAAAAACAAGAGGCAGGAATTTTTTTGAACTACTGTGAATAAAATACCAAAAACGCATCTTCGATTGATTATAATTGCTATTTCAAT